AGCATTCTCTGGAATTAAATTAAAGTCATTAAAATTTGACCAGTGACTATTTCATTGGCTCACAGGATGTTGTTTGTCTTCATGATGTAACATCTTGTCACATTACAATTTTGGTCAATACAGCTAGTAGTTATCCTGACATTATATATATATATATATACAAAGAATGCCGACACCAGAAGGGTAATAGAGATGATGACGTCTTAATTCCGTGAAGTAGCAGCATAGGGTGTTCTTTTGCATTTTCTGACGTTTTATACGTAAAGCACTTATCGCTAATTCATTTGTTCTATAGTTTTCATTTCTATAATTAATATAATAATTATATATTGTATAACATACTTTTATATCTGTTCGCCCTGAAAAGGACGTTTATTTAAATCTCTAAATAATATGGAATAATTCTAATATTATGTTTAGCTTTATAAGTTAATCTATATAACTGTTCCAGTAAAGTTTGGTTTTAAAGGATCTACATAAATAGTTCAGCTTAACCATTACTATTGTAGAAATGTTTACAAATATTTGTCTAAAGCTGGTTTTTTGCTTGCTTGGGACTTTACATATAATGCTGACTGATCTCTACTGAAAATGTTTGTACATAGACGTTCTTCAAAAACAGCCTAAAAGCTCGATAAACTCTGATTTTATGAATTAAGGTAAAATGTCAAAAAGGCTTATATACCACTCTATGTAATTAAATAATATTTGTATCACCTTTTCCGTAGAACTTTCCTTTTCGAAAAATAGTTATAAACGAATGTTTATTAAATGCTTCAGATAAGTCACTTATACAAACTCCTAACAATGTAAACTTCTTCAACTTTATTACCCCCCAGTGGCACAGCGGTATGTCTACGGACTTACAACGCTAGAATCCGAGTTTCGATACCCGTGGTGGGCAGAGCACAGATTGCCCATTGTGTAGCTTTGTGCTTAACTTCAAACAAACAAATCAACTTTATTGGTAAATTCGGTATGACTTTTCAAATCCGATGACACGTAAAAGCACGTGACCCCTAAGGCTGTTGACGCATCATAGCTGACTAATTGTTTAAAGTACAATGTAGCTCAGTATTTTGAAACAAACTGTTTTAACATAAATAGTAGATGATAATGTTACCACATTAGTAGTACACTTTATAATGATTCAAACAAATGTTAGTTTAAATATTTGTTGACAAATCCTATTTCCATATCATTTCTAGATTTTCAAAACTTCACTTTATGTACATTCATGAATCATAACATTTAAGCTTACTAGTTCAACTAAGCATCAAATACATTTCCCCACACAAATGAGCATAGTTTATAACCGAATAAAGTTTGTGTACAATTCTTGTATTTTGCAAAGTTCACTACCAACTAAATACTGTATCAGTTTTAATATATAGAGTTGACAATCACAATGTGTCCTACCATGGAAGATTAAACAATAATTTGTAAATAGTTGTTGTTATTGACAAATTACCTCAGTTTTACTATTTCTCAAAATAAAAGATATGGTCTACAAAAAGGGCATATCTATTTTTTCACATTTTACAAATCTAACACATATACTGTGCCATCTGGTGCCATTTCGTGGAACTATAACTTCTAGCAACTGTATCATGAAAATTAAATATTGAAGCGAAAACTATAATCATATAATACAGTATGTTAAATGTGTACTAAATCGATACTTAAATAATAAAAACACAATCGGCTGTGGAATAATAATGTAAGTGTCTCTTCAAGTAATATTAGACGTAATAAAACTTTTCAAGACAGATAATTGTAAGATATATCAATTAGAGAAGCAAAAATTATACACGTAATGAAAAAGAGTATTGTTCTATACATAAAACGACAAATATTTTTTTGTAAAAGTATATAAGGTAAACTATTGGCT